TTTTTCCACAGCAGTCAGATAGAACATTTAGTCCAAATGAATCAGAGGAAGAAATAGGTTTTGCTAAAAGTTGCTGGGGTTGTGGTCTGGTGAGACTGAATTCACAATGGGTTCAGGTGCTGATATAATGTTACCATCACCCCGAGAAAGATAGGCGAGGAAAGGCTAGATGAAATGATTCTGCCCAGATAATAAAGGAAATGGTGAGACTTGGAGGTTTTCAAAAGACAGGATGTTTCAAACCTGTCCTCAGATTTGTCTGATCTTTGCTAAGGCTGTAGCAATAACTTTCTTTTTGAAGGAACAGTTGTCAACCACCTTTGGAAACTGTTCAGGTCACTTGAGATTAACAAAAAAAAAAAAAAAACAAACCCACCCCCACCAAAACCACGTCAGACCACGATTTTATTTCTTGTCAGTGACAGACATTTGCCTCTTGTCAGCCAGATGTCTAAAAAAAAAAGAAACCAAACCCAAAACCAACTGATGAGATCCCTTAGCTGTGAGATAGGAGGGGCTGCTAGCCAAGTATGTGGTGCCCTGGACTAGAGGCTTGGGAAGAAAGCAGTCCACTGAAGGGGACTGTACCTATTAAATTGAAAAATAGCATTTGTCTTAAAAAAATAATCATTATCCTTCTTAGTTCGGTACATTCTTGATTGTGCTGTGAGATAATACAGCCTTACTAAAAGGACAGCTCAGGGATAAGAATAGAAACATGCTCTGTTCCCAGGAATCCTGTTTTTCTTAGCTGCTTCTTTGGCCCTGCTATGCTCTACCTCTTCCAGACAGTCTTATTGCCCTTCTACAGCTACAACAACCTGACCCTGAGCACCAGCACATTTCAGACACTGCCTTTGGAAAAGGGTATAGTTGGCTCTGGTTAGCAGCTTGGTGCTCTGTGGCAGACGGCCCCACGTCAGGAGCATCACGCAGCGAGAGCCGAGACACTCCCAGAGACACCAACTGCTATGGAAGTGGGAGACTTCTGTTCATTTCCCTGTTCATGTGACCGGGAACTGTTCAGAGTCAATATATTTAATTTGTGTAAGAACAGCAGACAAGACTGCAAGGTATCACTTTCCTTGCTAAAGGAGACACTCCAAAAGTGCGCTGAAGCGCATGGTTACTATGTGGTTTCTTAAGCCTGAGGTCTTTTGTTTAATCTTCATGAAAAATATGTGTTATCAAAATGTATTTTATTCTTAACAGGGTAGTTAGAATGCTATGGGTATCCCTGATTAACATTTCCATTTTCCCTTGCAGTCACAGAAAGTCATTTCATCTTGCTTCATCTGTCATTGGTCAGAGGCCAGGAAATTTTACTTCAAGGTTTGCGAAAAATTGATTTTTAAAAAGAGACACATTTCTGACTCTCTGCTAAAATGAGCAAGAGGTCCGATGTGAAATATATTTCAAATCTAGTTCAGCACAAAAACTCTGTGGTTAACTGAATTTAGGAAGACTAGAATGTTTTTTTATGCCAGGTAGAGCAGATGTCATTAAAATTCCTCTTCAGCTTGTCTGGAGCGAGAGCGTTTCAGTTCCAGCAGTCTCTCCACAGTGTCTGCAATTGTACGCTCACCGTGCACCTTGTTATCTCGGGTGCGGATGTTAACTGTTCCACTTGCCTTCTCCTTTTCACCAACAACTAGAAACAACCAAGATGCAAAGGAATGAACTTAACATTTAGCAAGCTCTTTTTTCGCCCCCCCCTTCCATTCCCTTAAAATTTAGACATACTAAACAAATACTTCTAAAAAACTTACCAACCATCAAATCCTTCTTTGCCCTCCTCCCAGCTCCCCCCACTTAAATCTGTAACAGCCAATAGCCTTATTTAATGTCATATCATTTAATAGGCTTTAGTATGTTATGAACAGCAACTTAGCAAAATATGAGTAAAGAGAAAAGTAAACTTAGTAAGTCCAGCTTGACTTAACTTCTTATTAGAGAACCACAAAGTCAAAATGTGAAATAAACATGCAGTACTCCACAGGCAAAGATCAGAAAGACTTGATTGTAAATAACCAATACCTATTTGTTTTCTTTACAGAGACAGCAAGACAGTTTATTGGAAAATCCCAAAGCTATTCTACTTAAACATTAATATACAGATACCAAGATAATATATGTATGTCTCATTACTAATATAAATTTTATATAATATACTTGGAGATTGTTGCAGGAGATTGTATTTCTCTGGTACCAGTCTACATTCCGTCAGATAACTCCTTGAAACAACCTCTGAACATAAATTAGGTGAGATTTTTTTCCTGACAGACTGATCATTTGTTTGTGATCTTGAAGGGAAAAATGTGATTGTGTCTTATCTGTATCATATGTTTAAAAGTTTTAAAGAACAAAAGAACTTTATTCCTGATTCTATCAATTACTCTGAGGGTAGAGTTTCTCTGTCAAGGGCTCCTTCTACTCTAATGGATCCCAGACAGTTTTAGGATCAATGCTAGAGCCCCAATTTACACGACATGACTAATGTGGTGCTTCAAATCACATACTTCAGGGTCAGTTTCTAATTCTCCCTGCATCACCCTTTTGTGGAATAGTCTTCTCCTATGCATGCTCAGAAGTGCACCACAGCTGAATGCAGTGAAAATACAGTACTTCTTTTGCTACGCTTGAAAGAAGACCATAAATTATTGGGCCAGGGAGTGGTGGAAAAATCACTTAACAATCTGACTGACACAGGGCAAGAGATTTCATATGTCTCCACATTGCTGACCAGAAGACAGCAAAGACCTTTTTCTAAAGCAGCAGTAATGCCTTGGGCCATGGTGACCTCCTTTCAGTGACAGCTATACAAGCCAGG